AATTTTATTTTCTCTATATTTTTTGTACATCTTTTCATAAAAAAAAAAAAAAAATCCTTATCTTTCAATAAAAAAAAAAAAAAAAATTTATCCTAAACATACTATGCTAGTTTAGAGTTTCAGGTTCAAATTTGTAGAACAAAATCAACTTCCATTGTAGTCTAACAACTATACTTGCGTCTTAATCTTGTTTTTCCTAGTTTAGAATTTGCATGTAAGTGTGATTAATATTATAACGATTGATTGTACTTCATTACATAACGATGGATCCAGATCCTCTTTATTTTATAGATAAAATGAAAACATCAAAATGAGTGCTATCATCAAATATTTAGTTTAGATTAAGAACAGTAACAAAACTTTTAAAACTTAAAAACAGTAACAATAGATTATTTTTTAGGAAAATTTATCCATGAATTCCATATGAGGGAATGTTGATCAATTTAGTTTTAAGAGGTTTCTTATGAACCAATTAGTCCTTTTTGTTTTTGAAAGGTGTATTTATTTGATTTTGTGTCATTTGAGTTTAAGTAAGTGCCTTTTTGTGATTCATATTTCCGATTTTGTGATTTGTTTTTGGGATGAGAATAGAAATGTGAGGTGTGAAAGAATTTTTTTTTGGGGGGATTGGTGATTGAAATGTTGATTGTTGAGCGTGGAAATCTACGTTTATGATAATTTGGTTTTCCTGTATTACATTACAGTGTTACGTTTTAAAGCAGTATATCAAGGAGTTTTTGTGTGTTATATTGATTGAAGTGTTACATTTGAGAAAAGTACATTAAGAAATTTTTTTAGAATATTAAATTGTTACATTTGAGAAAAGTACACTAAAAAGTTTTTTAGTATGTTGAATTAAAGTATTACATCAGAGTGTTACGTTTGAGAAAAATACACTAAATGATTTTTTTTGAAGTGTTATTTAGTAATTTCTACATTATAAGAAAACCTACATTTGTCCCTCAATACATAGCACACGTGCATTAATACTTGGTCATTTATGTAATTAACATTAAAATGAGACCTTTCGGTCCATAAGAAAAAATAGAGGATCAAACAGTTCATAAAATCATTATTTAGAATTTATTGATATTTCACCCTATTTTTTATTTTAATAACGTGTTGCAACTTTATAAAATGAAATAGATATTCCCATTTATGAAATAGAAATGAAAATCCTATTACGATATATATTGTAATAAAAGAACTTTCCAAAAACCCTAACAAATGTCACGCTCAAAATCGCCAGATAAGAAAGAAACAATTAACAAATGACAGACTTAGGAAGAATTGATATGTTTCTTTATTTTATTTTATTTTATTTTATTTTATTTCAATTCATTTTATTTGTTTATTTATTTATTTATTTATTTTGGGTGTGTGTAATTGCGTGAGTTCACATGAGTGTGTATATATGATAAAGGAGAGGATTCTATAAGTGGCCTCCACACAAAACAACTCATAAAATATGACCCACAAATCATGCGTCTAACAGCTCAATTAGATTTGGTGCATGGCAACTCACTATATACTAATTAATATTTATATATCTATATATAGATATTAAAACATCACGAAATTCTCTGAATCTACGGCACTGTCTGGTTTAGATATCAAAACATAGTTCCACCACTGATTTGAGTGTGGTATTTGGTTGCAACTTTCAAATCATAATTCTACACTTATTTCTCAAAACTCATTTCAAACTATAATTATTACTTTTCAAAATTCACAACCAAACACGTAACTTAAAACTCTTTTCAAAACTAAAAAACAACTTAATTTTTATTTTAAATATTTTTAATTTTTTTATTTCAAATATTTTATTTTATTTTATAGGAATATTTTTAATATTTTAATTTTCATAAAAATATTTTAATTTTAATATTTTGATATTTTAATTTTTAATATTTTGATTTTCGGAATATTTTTAATATTTTATTTTTCGAAATATTTTTAATATTTTTAATGTTTATATAGGCCTAAAAAATGAATTGACAGAAAAATTAATTGACATAGAAGTTATTTGAAAAAAAAATTATTCAAAAAAATTACTTAAAAACAATTAATTGAAAAAAAAAATCATTTTTTTATTTGAATATTTTAAAAATAGTTTGGTTATGACTATTGATCAAAAATACGGATATCGAGTTATGAGTTGTGTGTTTGATTATCAATTATAGGTTGAATTAAGTTTTGAAAACTATTTTGAAAACTCCTCACCAAACAAATTTTATTATTTCACATGTCACATCAAACTTTCAAAACTCAATTTCACATATAATTCAACACTCTATTCAAAAACCATAACCAAACAAATTTTCTACACTCAAATCATAATTCCACAACTCACAAACTCAAAATACAACTCATACTCTAAAAACATATTTACAAAACTCTATCAAACGCAACCTACAACTTCAATATCGAGTACAATAAATATACATTCACAAAATTTAAGCATATATTTAGCAATTAATGTATTGTTAAGATTGAATTTTGGTATGGTGAAATTTACGCCTTAACGGTGTATTTGGTTGGGGAATTTAGATAAGGATTTGGAAATGGAATTGGAAAAGGTGTGTGAAGCTAGGTAAGATGTAAATATATTTTATTCACATTTTACTTACCTTTTCCATTTCTCTTTCTAAATTCCTCATTAAATCCCCTAACCAAAGACAGTATAAATGAATTTTGATTACATACTAAAATGTTAAAGTATTTTTCTATGTATGTGTAGTGTAGCATTGTTTTATTAAGTATTTGGGTCAGGCAGAGAAGAAATTGGACGGTTTAGTTTGTTGTGTGGAGTTTTTCACGTGTCTCATCCCAATGATTTAAACTATTTATTTTCATATGATTTGTTGAGAAAAATATTCATATAAAAAATCAAGTCGATTTTAGCAGCTTCATCTGATTTCATTTGTCTGAATAAAATAGATGGACTATTTTTAAAATCATATTATATCAGTTAATTATATTTAGACAAATGTGATCAAATCAAATATCGATATTCAATCAATCTCATTTTTAGTATAAATAATTTACGAGGGCTCTTCAAAGATGAACAATTTAAATTGGTAAGATAGATCCAATGTAGGCATATAATAAGCTGGACTAGATTGTTCAGTTGGTTTGCCCAATTAAAAAAGATCCAGTCCCTAAATATTTAACTCAGCGGGAGAGAAAAATATGTATAGGATTTGGTTTTAAAAAAGGATTGTGAAGTTTCTCAGTTTAATATGATTTGGTTATGAGTCCGAGAATTGTCATTTCTTCCTAGAAGACAATCCCTATATATGAAACTGTTATAAGATTTCTAGAATCTATAATTTAAATGTTGGTCCAACATTAATTATATAATTCTTTATTTAGTTTGCCTTCCTAAATATAATATTGCTCAAAGATTATTTTAATCCTTTTTTTAAAAAAAGTATTATAAGCTAATAACATCATGGACTATAGAACTAAAAGGCCTGACGGTTGTTGTGTGTTACAAGGTACAACAGTTCTATTACGAGGAGTTTTAGGGATTTTTTGAGGCCTATTTTGATAATTTAAATTGTTTATATTATAAATTATTAAGTAATATAAAAAATCAAGTTAATTAGATATTCATAATCCTACAATCAAGTCCTAAATATTTTTTTAAAAACATTAAATTTATGTTAACCATTTATGTTTTTTTTTTAAAAAAATGTGCTCTTCTTATGATAATAGAGATATCTAATTAATTTAATTTTTTATATAAATAAAGTATAAATTTTTAAAAACCTACACAGTTGTCTTATAATCTTACATGACCATGATAAACTAACTAAATGATGAAATAAATATCTAAAAAAAAAATGATGAAATAAGATGATGTCCCTATGATTTACCTGACAAATACTTGAGATTTCTAGGTCAAGAAACTTTATAATTATTTATTTTTATTTTATATCAGAGGCTGTCGCTTGAGAATCTTGACCCAGGTATAAGAGTTATGCTCAATTGAACTGTTTCAATATATTTATATTTTTATAGACATATTAACCACCAACAATTCTTTATTTTAAAATTTACCTACAGTGACAAAAAAAAAAAAAAGTTGATTTTTATATGATTTAATTATTAACAAATTAAAAATTGATACGTAATGCGTAATGTCATTATGGATCAAATTACAAAAAAATTTCATAGATGTCAAATATTTTTCTTATTTTTATCTGGTCCCAAGTTATTAGAGGGAGATCTCTTGCAGTAAAAAATTGGATTGGAGGTCGGTATTTCAGCCAGTGAGATCTCACACGGTTTTTCTTTTGCTGATTCGAACCATTTATTTTATCGGACATTTTGTATATTTTATCAACACAAAAAAAAATTGATTCGATAATTGTAACTTATTTAATTTGTTATGTTTGTCACAAAAAAACAATATGGCTTATTTTTAAAAATACAATTATCATTCATTTTTTTGATGATAAATACGATAAATTAAATATGTTACAATTATTGAATCAAACTAATTTTTTATGTGAATGTAATACACGAAATATTCGATAAAATAAAAAATTTAAATAATCAAATTGGGACAAGTAATGGATCTTACGAGGCCAAACACGACCATCCCGTCCAGATTTTGGACTTGAGGGGCCTCCGAATTTATTCCTATCTTAAGAAATGGTCGGTTTTTCTTTCTTTCTTTCCTTCTCTCTCTCTCTCTTTTTTTTTTTTTTCCGTAATTTTAAATTTCCATTTGTAATAGGGTTTCTCTTTGTTATTTCATATATTGACTTTTAAAAATAAAGACAGTCCCTTTCAAAGTCCTAGTCTCCAAAGTCCATAACTAAATAATAATAATAATAATAATCATCGTGCAAGTTATGGAAGTTCACAAAATGAGCCAAAACAAGTGGGGAAAAAAATAGTATGAAATCAAGTACAGTACATAATATATAAATAAATAAATGTGTATAAAAGATATGTATAGAGAATCTATATACAATCTGATCCAGCGATGCAATAATTTACTAGGGTGCAAAACAGCTTATAAAAGAGTGTTGGAGATCTCTGGTACTACTACAGCAACCTAGCTGTTTGCAAGAAAATACAAAGTTTGCAGAGAAAGAGAGTTTTTGTGAAGTCTGTTAAGCAATTCTCTCTCTCTCTCTCTCTACAATCTGTCTCTGAAAAAGAAAAAGAGAAGATATGGGTAGCAGTTATTTTGGGGAGCCAAACCTAGGAAATGAAAGATCATCAAGGAGAGGGAAGAAGAGTAATTCAGACAAGCCTAGGCAGCCTCAAAGAGGACTTGGTGTTGCTCAATTAGAGAAGATCAGACTCCATAGCCAAATGGGTTGTACCTACCTTCCTCCTCCTTCCCTTCATGCTCCCAATTATCCTACTAACCTCAACCAGGTCCCCCCCCCCCTCTCTCTCTCTCTCTCCCTTCAGTATTGGCCTAAGATTTTTGAAGTTTTGGACATTAAAATGAATTTTTATTTTATTAAACTTCTAAAAAATTCCGATTATATTAAGTATTTTTTAATTTTTTTTTGTTGTTGATAGATCTCAATAACAGATTGAGTCGCATAATGGTTGAGTCACCTCTGTCTCTCTCATTTTGTGGAGTATTATTGTTTGTTTAAAATTCTCATGGAGATTTATTATTAACATACATGCAGGAGGATATGAGATTACAAACACCCTATTCATCATTGCCATCATCATCAGCTTCCTTCTCTTATACCACATCATCCTCATCCTCATCTTCTTATGGTTTCCATGGCCAACAAAACATCATGGTATGTTGACTAACTTAACTTGCTATTTTTAGGGGGATTTCAATGTAATCTCTATCATATTTTAATATATATATATATATATATATATATTTTTGTCATATACTTTTAATTTTACAATTTAAACGACACGACAAGATTAAGAGAGTAAAACAGAAAGTTGAACAGAGAATAATAACAGATGATCCCAATTATTTATTTTTTATTTTAGTTTGTTCATGGTCACATTTGTCGAAATTCGTGTCATGTAAAACCTAATTCTGACTATAGTGCCTCCAAACAAGAGAGAGATCTAGGGTGCACTAAACCTAATCTTGTGATGCTTTTGCTTAAATGATAGTTCATGCGCATCATCTTCCCTGCCAAGACTATGTGATCAAGGTACCTAGCTAGTTAATTACACAAAGTACCAACAAATTTTTATGATATATATAATCTTAGTTGTTATCCCAATTTTCAGTAATTATGTATAACATTTTCCACCTTGAATAGGACCTTCCCATTTCTTTGGAAGTTTTCCAAACTTAGAAATTGATATTAAACCTAGACACTTGCTCCAACCAAAGATTCCTCACTCCTCTACATTCTCCTCCTCCATTGGCATCGGATTTCTTTGTCCTAAATCCATTTGTCTTTTTATTCCAAAATACTCACAGCCATTGAATTATGTCTCAAAATTTCTCCATCTCAAAATTTTCACATGATTTGACAGTTGTGAGTGTATTATGACATGATGACAAGAGATTTCAGAACAAAAATCATTGGCCTTCTCCTCCCCATCATCACCGTCCTAGTTGTCACTTGTGTTAGCTGCAAGAAACAAGAGAGAGTAGGAAATTGGATTCATTTTCCTTTTTGCTGCTGATCTGTTTCTTTCTTTTTATCTTTTTCCTTCTATTGACTAAAGATTTATTATTCTATGTTGATTTGCCCCATAGATTTGTGCAGTAACTAAATCTGTCAAAGTTGACTTTTATTGCAGATGGGGTTAGGTGACTTAGAAAGACCAAATATGGGATATGGTGATTCCCATCCTAGAACAACAACAAGGTATAGTTAAATGTTTCCTAACCTAAATTGTTGTAGTAACATAGGGTCCTCCATGAAGAGACTGATTTCTTATCCTCTTTTAAAATTCAGCTTTTAGAATTCAACAATGATACATGCATAGAAAGTTATCTGGACAGAATGCACCAATTTCTCACATCTTTTTGGCATATAATTGTGAACAATTTGTGATACATTAGTGCATCATCTGCGCAAAAACCTTCTATGCGCATAGGGTTTTTGTTTATAATTTTCTTTGATTGAAAATTGAATTTGTGATGGATATGTGAAACTCATTGAAACAGATGGAACCCTGGCAATGACATGTTAGTGACCCAACAATTTGCACAACCCGGCATGGAAAGACACTTTCTGAACCAGCAAGTTGAGGTACGCATAACTTCTAGTGTATATTTTTGTTGATGTTAGATATGGGTCAATATATGATTGTCCTTGTATGGTCTATACCGATACATTCCATTATTTAAAACACTGTAATAAATATAATTTATATGAAAATAACACATTCTTTCCCACAATTTATGATATAGAATTCACTTCAAAACAAGAGAAAGAAAGACAGGAGTGATTCGATAGGCTCTGGCAGTCAGAATTCCGAAACAAGTGACACTCAAGAACTGGATTTGGAGCTTAGACTTTCTCTTTAGACTACAACTTTATGCGATTCAATGTATGGATTCACCTTTTGTTTTTCTTGTTTTGTTTTTGTCATCTTACTTATGTTTTGAAAATTCGACATAACAAGTTGAATCTACAAAGTTGAACAAGAGCAATTTGATGGACTTGTATTAAAGTTCTATTTGGGAGGACTCTCTAGTCTAATGAAAATTAAATTGACTTCACTTAAAAATGATGAAATTTGGTTGTCACATTTTGAACACTGTATAGATGTGACAATTGTTTGTTCTTGAAAGAATGGAGACAAACAATGTTTGTGCCTAGAAGGGGAGAATAAGCTAAACAGTAACTACTTAAGTTGCTCTTACCACTTTTTTTATCAATATATCTTGTTAACGTGAGTTAATAAATTTTTTTTTTTTTGTGGATAAAAAAATTAAAAATAATCAAGCAATGGATTAATCAATTCAATTGCTAGTTCTAATATATCAATGAAGCATGACATCCACATACAATTTCGCAATGATGGAAACCAAGATAATAGAGACATTGTAATATAAGTGGAAAACTTTGTGAACAACAATCGTTGCAAGAAAATCCATGAGTCACCCTACCACCAAGAGTATTTTCTCTAGAAGAAGAGATAACATACAATAATAGATAACCGACTTACAACTCAAGTTCAGTTTTCATTTGCAAATGGCTTCGACCTATTGGCCTTCTCTTGTTTAAATTTTGTCCACCAACTATTTGGTTGTCAATAAAGTGCCCTTCGAGCAGTCTTTGAGCAAGGCTCTTGATTGTTTCCCCTCAACCCTATTTTGGAGAATTTTAACTAGAAATCATATAGATAAACTACAGGCAATTTAGATGAATTTGAGACATGTAAAATATGGGTCCTAAACTAATGCAACATGCAAATGCAATTATACCTCATGAGCTCTAAAAGTCTTCAATATTTAACACTTGGACACACTCTTACCTATACTTTGAACCTAGACCACCCTAGCATATGTTTTGTCTATAGACATTGCCAACACGCTAAATTACTAAGAAATTGAATTTTCTTAGTAAGAGACAATATATATGTATATATATATATTTTTATCAGCAAAAGAGAAAATGCTTTATTGATTAAAGGAATGTACAAAGTACAAGACATACATCAATAAAACGGGCTAGAGCAAAAAGCGTCATAGCTGAGAAATTGAATTTTCTTTGTACGAGACAACATTGCTTTAAACAATTCAATGTATGCATTTGCTTTTTGTCATCTTTCTTATAGTTTGAAAGTTCGGCCTAAGTGGTTGGATTTGCAAAATGCACAAGTTGACTTGATGGACTTGTGTTATAGTCTCATTTGGATGGGTTCTTGTGCAATGGAAATTAAATTTTCTTCATGAAATAAACTGTGAAATTTTCTTGTGATATTTGGAAAAACTGTATCTGAGAATATCGTTGTTCTTTCACTTTCAATTTTTGTTTTCCATTGAGGTCTAGCAGACAGCATCTAACAATGATAAAAGCTTTTCATGGATGCAACTTTATTTGATTCATGAAGTTTTGGAATTTGCTTTTCATGAATTAACTTTATTTGATTCATGAGTCTTGGAATTTCTCTATTCTAGGTTCATGAAGTTTTGGAATTTCTTTAATTCTCACTACTATTAAGTTCAACAGTATTAACTTTAAAAAAGATGATAAAAGAGACCACAAGAATAGAACATGAATAAAAAAAAAAACGTTGACATGGTAGATGTAAAGAACAATCTCAAAAATTGCAAATCATTTATCCCTATCTTTACGGATTTTGTTGTTTATTTTGGGGGCAATTTAAATGTTTAGTTTCTCTACTTTGCCTCTTGTGTTAATTAAGTCCTTATAATTTTAAATATATTAATTTTGTCATTAAAATTTTCACATTATTTCAATTTACTCCAACTCATGTCTCTTTAGAAATTAGACTGAAATCAAAGGATAAAATAGTCTATTCACTCTTCTTAAAGTGATTAAAGGATTAAACTCCAATTTGAAATGGCTAACTGCTATTTGATTGAACCATATTTTGCATTTATTTATGTCCAGTTTATTGACGGATGTTATCAATTAGACTAAATTATTATAATAGGAAAAATTAAAAGAAAATTTTAAAATAAATTTAAAATTATAGAGACTAAATCGGTACAAAAGGCATATCCTTTATTTCCATGAAAAAGTTGTTATATAATTAGACACTGCATAGCTAGCCTTGCAGTGTATTGGCATTTTCCCAAGACCTAGACGAATGCTATATATTAGGCTGATCATTCAAATAAAGTGTTACATAATTCACCAAGAAATGTGCTTTTGCCTCTTCATTTGAGCAACAAGATGTTTCTTTGGGTAAACTAACATTTATCACCACTTTCGTGACATGAAAGTTGACGGAGGAAATGATATAATTTAATCAACAACACTGTACATGGGACCACGATTAACAAAATTAAACCATTAAAAGAACCTCTCTAGAAATAGGTGTAAAGCTATATCTTATCTTCGGACACGGGATGATACTGTACCTTATGGCACAGTAATCCTGTTGTGAGGGTTATTAGGAATTTTTTCTGAACCTATTTTAATAATTCAAACCGTTGATATTATAGGTTTCGTTGAACATATCATTTATAAAAAAATCAAGTTAATTGAACATTTATAATCCCATAATCATGATCTCTTGCTTCTAAAAAAAAATATTAAAATCATGTGAATGATAATATTACTAAGCCATTGCAAGTAAAATGCTCAATTGCTTAGTTGAAGTCTCGAGCACAGTCAACCCCACAGCTCAAGATATGTACCAAGAAGCTTAAACAAATGTAGCCAAACAAACGCCGACATCTTGAGCATTGCTCATGTCATCACGTGGGTGAAGAAGATTTGGATAGATATAAGATGGAGAGAGATACAATTGTAAAGTAGTTAAGTAAGTGGTTAGAGTTTGTTATCACAAAATCTAACAAACATCTTGTATAAGTAAGTGTAAAAACAAATCATTTGATCATTGAGAATAGAATTTGATTTCTTGTTATGGTATTAGAGCCATAGAAGGTCTTACGAGCAAGGTTCAATCATGGCGATCTCATCTTCTTCGTTATCAATTCTCAAGATATTTCACCAAATCTAAGTCTTCTTGTTTCCAATTTCAATTCACTACTTACGAACTTGATTCTTCAAACTTCTTGATTTGGAAGAATCAACTTTATAACGTTCTTCGTGCTATAGATTTCTTGATTTGGAAGAATCAACTTCATAACGTTCTTCGTGCTATAGATTTCTTGATTTTGTCACTAGATTAGTGCCTTGTCCTACCTCAGAAAAGCTTGATTCCTCTGTGAAAACAGTGCAAAATCCAGATTTTGCAAAATGGAAAACAATCGATGCACATCTTCTCAATTGCATCACTTCAACTCTCTCTCTCTCTCTCTCTCTCTCTTTTCCTATATTTCTTCGATTCTTCATCATCAACATTGCTTCCAAGTTTGGAGTGCTTTAGAAAAGAGCTATACTTCATTGTACCGTTCTCACATTTATTAGCTGAAAACCAAATTGCAATCAATCACGAAAAAAGGATTAACAATGGAGAAGTATTTGAATCAGATTAAAGAGATCTCTAATCAGCTTTATCTTGCTTTTTCAATGGTTGATGAAGAATACCTAGTGCTTCTTACTCTAAAAAAACTACCTGATGAATATGATGCTCTTAAGACTGTTATTTATGCTTGAGTCTGTGTTCTCTTTTGTGTTCAGAAGCAATTTGTGTTGAGAATAAAGCAAAACTTGCTCTTCACAATGAATCTTTAGTTGCATATTCTACAATCAAAAACTCTGAGACTTCTTCATCTTATTCTCAGTATTCTAAGACTCATTCATATCTACATTTAGGATATACAGGTCGAAATTCTTTTCAAGGCTCTAGAGGTGGAAGGTTACGGAGGAGGAAGATCAAATACATCTAGCAGAGGTCAATATGAAGGCCATGGAGGGCATTACTTTAGTTCTAATTCTAGCAGTCATCACATTCTCCTTTACCCTTTCAATCATCTCTTGGTTCTTTATCTTAGTCAAGAAATTATTCAGCCATGACTAAACAACATTTAGTTCTCTCTTGTTATGGCCCAAACCCGCCCCTATAAGTTTAGCGTCGTAACCGGTCAGTAATCTGTGATTATCGAAGGCCTGTTTAACAATAATGACAATAATACAATATAGAGGGGCTGGCAGAAGCCAATCAATAATAATATACATCGTTCAATGAGCTGTGAGGACTTGAATAGAAATAAACTTTCATTTACATAATTATATATACAAACACTTAAGTCTATAACACACATGTGTACATAACAAAACATAAGCTAGGGAATTAAACCCCATTGCCAAAAATAGTTAACAAAACTCAATAAACATTCTTTTCTCATAAACAAAATGTCAAAAGGGTGGATTTGAATCACCCAATAAGCCTTGACATGCAGTGGATCGGAACCTCGCAGTGAGGCATAGTAGTTGGCTTGACAAAAATAGGGTTCGGGTCAACACCGCTAACTCTAATCCGGTGCCCAATCACGTACATATATAATAAACAATGAGCTAGAGCCTAGTGAATAACATCAGCGTAAAGGGGTTATGAATGAGGTCCTCACAATATTTGAAACAATCGATTATCAATAGATTATTTTTTCAATTAATAGCTTGTGTCAATCAATCATTTAATCGTTCAATTTAACAATCATTCAGATTCATATAAGTCATATATGGTACATCCAATAGCAACAATACAATTGGTCTTAAAGACTAAACAATCAATTGATGGCCATCAAACAATAGACAATAGTTCCAAGAATTGGAATTGATAGAGATCTCTGTAACAATAACAATATGCTATGGATACCACGATGTAGACGTCCCCGAACGCCCCGGGAGGGAAATCCCGTTTTGTTCATGTGGGCTCACTACAGTTCAGACTCTCAAATTGTCATGGTTCCTAATTTGATCTTCCAAAGTGCAACGCAAGACTGATAAATCACCAAAGAGTCCAAAGCTGGCAAATCGTTTTGAAAAATAGATTTTTAGAAACAAGTGCCAAACATGGACTGCTTTGCCAGATATAGAGTCGCTACTTAAATATTTTTTATGGGGGAATTTAGGAAACCCTGACTCGTTTGCCTAAGGCCACGTGTCCGTCATCACCAAAGTTGCCTC